AGGAGCGTATAGATAACTGAGTTTTCGCGCACATAGCTCGTTGAAATTGACGACTGATTGTTTTTTTGACAGTCGTAAATGGAAAATATCCTGAGCTCTCGGACCATATAAGCCTGATATTCGCTACGTAACTCCAGACTCTCTTTCTGACCACAGCACTTCTGCTTCCGGCTTTCTTCGAAACCGATCTGTTTCTATACCTCTGTGGCACCCTTGGTCCGTGCTATCTCCGGTCATCTCAGTATTTTTGTCGCGCGTCTGATTTAGCGCCCATCGACTTTTCTGGATAGACGGCGATCAACGTACGAGCCGTATGCTGCCGAATTCTCCAAGGGCTTTGATTTTTGGACTCACACAACTCCTGAAAACGAACCTACATCGAACACCTCGATTTCTTTGCCCCATGTCGAATTCCACGCGAAGCGCAGAGAATAATATAGCTATGCTTCTCAGGTAAAATTAGACCTGGCGTCTATCTATCGTTCTCTTCACACCGCGACCACGACGGACGAAGCTATCTGCGTTGTGCTTTGACCGCATCCGCCTCCTGGTCCATCCACTCCCAACAATGCAGAACATGCTCACGCCATGCCAGGTACGTCTCTTCCCGGCTTCCCATGCAAGCAAGAATTGACTGGCCATGGCCATGGACTGCAGTATCGCACCGGGCGGATGCTTGGCAGCGGCACGTACGCCATCGTGCGGGAGGCCATCCACAACACGACGGGGGTCGTCTATGCGTGTAAGATCATCAACAAGCAGCTCATGGAAGGCAGAGAGTATCTCGTACGCCGCTCGTCCGTGTGAGAGGATCGGCGCTGTTGACGCGCCGCGATGCAGGTGCGGAACGAGATCGCGGTGCTGAAGCTCATTTCGAGCGGGCACCCGAACGTCGTGACGCTGCACGACTACTTTGAGGTGGGTCGATCTGCCTCGCGAGGGAGTCTTCGTGCAATTCGCGTCGCGGGTTGTTTTGATGTGGTTCTGACTAGAAGAGTAGACGCGCAACAACCTCTATATGTGCTTTGACTATTGTACCGGCGGCGAGCTCTTCGACCGGATCTGTTCAAAGGGCAGCTACTACGAGCCGTGCGTTACTTGCTCAACGTTGCAGGCGGGAATACTCAACCTTCTGCAGCGATGCAGCAGCCCTTGTGCGCTCGGTCTTCACAGCAGTGAATTACATCCACGACGCTGGTGTCGTTCACCGCGACCTCAAGCCGGAGAACCTGCTTTTCCGCACGACAGACGAGAACGCCGACATTATGGTCGCGGACTTTGGCTTGAGTCGGATCATCGAGGAGGAAAAACTCAACCGGCTCACGGAGGTCTGCGGGACACCGGGATACATGGCGCCCGAGATCTTCCAAGGCGGTGGGCATCCATTCCTCCTTTTGTGTGTACGCTGCTGATGTTGGTGTTTTCCTTCGAACAGCGGGCCACGGCAAGCCCGTAGATGTCTGGGCGATGGGTGTCATCACGTACTTCCTCCTCGCGGGCTACACGCCCTTCGACCGCGACACCCCGCAGGCCGAAAACGCCGCCATCATGGCCGGCGACTACAAGTTCGAGCCCGCGGAGTACTGGGCCAACGTGTCCCCCACCGCGCGCGACTTCATCATGGCGTGTCTGACAGTGGATCCCGAGCGCCGACCCACTGCCGCGAATGCGCTCCAGCACCGGGTGCGCGTCGCACGTTCCTCTGCGCCCTAATTTTATCGCGATAATTAATTAACTCATTAATGGTTCGCAGTGGCTCGCCTCGGCGTCGACGCCCTTCGTGCCTGACCCCTTAAACCCGAGCGGCGGGCCCACGGATCTGCTGCCGCACGTGAAGAGGGCGTTCAACGCCAAGATGGCATGTGCGTTCCGTTTTGCGCTTGGTATACCGTTAGCGCGCGCCTGCTAATACTTCTGCAGGGAAGAAAGCGGGCTTCGGCATCCAAGCGCTGGCGCGAATGCGGATGGCGGCCCTCGCGGGGTCGGTGCATCGGCTTGGGCCGGCGGCGGCGGAGCTTTCGCAGACGGTGGAGCGGTTCAAGGAGGAGAGCACGCAGGAGGTTATGGAGGTGTGTATTGGTTTTATTTTCTCCGCTCTCCTGAGCGCTAACTTGTTCTACAGCAAGTGCTGATAACGCACCAGCACGCGGTCTGAAAGGGATGTTGAAAACGAAATGTACTTGTATTATGAGCGAGTGTAAATTAGCGGAGGAAGATTTGGGTAATATTGGGAAGAGCATAGAGTATTGCAATAAACGGTGTACAGTACATGTGCTCTCTAAAACTGGGTTTCGTAGTTGAAGTTTGGTTGATTGAACAAACACCAACCAAAGGGCGAAATGCGGTCTCTTTCGAACGATATAGATCCTTTGCGAACCTTCTTTATGCCAATAAATTTACAAAACAAATGTACCTATATCTACAGATTATACTCCTGGTCGTAACGTACGGCGACAATCACTCGAGACTATCTCTAATCACCGCCGCCTTCCAGCGCCTTGACGATCCCGAACGCAGCGGCAGCCGCCACACCGCCGACAAGAAGCGTGCTCACTGCGCCCCATACGTAGCCCTTGGCGCCCACACCCGCACCCGTCACCCGCGCCTTGACCGCGCCAAAGACCAGCAACACAAAGCCCGTGATGAGCGCACTCCACATAAGGGCGACGTGTGCGCGGGGGATGAAGAAATACGGGATGAGGGGGATGATGCCGCCGACGAGGTAGCCCGCACCAATCGTGAATGCAGAAATGTAGAGGCGGCTGGTAGGCACCTCCTCGAGACCGGCGCCGAACTTGAGCAAGAAAGGCGTGAGTCCAACCTCCTTGCTCCACCGGAGGGACTCGTTGGACTCGAGGTCATGCGCTGTGATGGTGTTGCCGGACGAAGGAGTGGAGGGGACCTCGACTTCGCGGAGGCAGCGCGCGACGGCGCGGCAGGTGCGTTCGTCCACACCGATAGGGGCGAGCACCTCGGCGACCTCGCGCTCCATCTCGCCGTCGCAGCTGCGGACGACGCGCGCGGCGGTGCTATCGCGGAGGAAGCGGTAGTGATCTCTCTCCGCCTGGGACGCCAGGAACCCGCCAATGCCCATCGAGATGGCGCCCGCAATGAGCTCTGCGACGCCTCCGAGGACGACGAGACGAGATTCGCCGAGCGAAGAAAGGCCGGCGGTCAATGCGAAGGGCACTGTGAGACCGTCTGAGAGTCCGATGACGCTGTGTGGAGTGGTGAGTACACGATGCGGTATTTTTTCATGGTTCGCCTTACACGTCGCGGACAACATCTGGGTCAATGAGGGTGCGGTCGTCGCCTTTGAGTTCTTTGCAGCAAACTCCGTCGGGCCGATTGTGGCGTGAACAGCGGGCAGGGAGCGGAATTGGCTGGGATGTGGGTGCCACTGTGTCTATCGCCCAGACAGGTGGTTTTGTGGGGTTTTCCGAAGCTGCTGGCCGTGAGAGGGGAACGGAGGGCGCAGGAGTGGGATTCGAGGCGGAGGACATGGTGGCGGGAAGAAAGAAAATTGCTTTCGGCGCCTGCCATTTTTGGAATCCATTTAGCCTCGGCAACGGACGGCAACCAATCACAGGTCGCCAATTGGCGCTCTTCATGTGATGCGAGCCAATGGGGTGCTGCGAATCCCACGCGCGTCCGTTTTGCCGAAGAACGCGTCGCCTGACGGGCTAATGACCGATAATTGAACGCATTTTATTCGACCTCGAAAATGCGAAATTGAATTCGTTGTCTTTAAATTTCGGTGCGTTGTCATCGTGTTTTAAATGCGTGCAGCTGCCGGTTGTGATTGGTTCAATGGGCTCAGCAATGAAGGTTTGTCCTTCAAGTTGCACTGATCTCATTGAGTATATAATAGAGGGAATTATTCGGCGTAATATTTGGTCGAGAACTGCGTTAAATTGAGACATACAAAGGCCACCCTTCTCCTCAAAGAAGATTGAAGAACATTCACGGGAGAGGATAGGTTACATGAAGGTATTCCCAAGAGCTCATACGTGTAGACTACTCCCACCTATCTTACGCCTCGTCTGCGTACTTTGAAGACCTCACCACGGAGCGCGAAGCATTGGGGAAGCTCTTGCGAAGTTGGATACTGTGCGGCGGTAGGGAAGGGCAAATGAATATTATCGATCTGGAGGAAGAGGAGGAGCCACTAGAGTAGTACCGCAGGCGCTTTTAGAGCTTGGAAGTTTTTTTTTTGCGGCAAATTTGAGGTCGGATGCAAAGTTCGGATAAAAAATTGGCTTGGCGCTCGCCGGAGGCAGAATTCGGATAAATATGGGTCCTAGTAATGGAGGGAATTATTCGGCAGCGGCTGAGCGGGATGGTACTTACTATTTGTCGAGAACTGCGTTGAATTGAGACATATAAAGACCATCTTTTCTCCTCAAGAAATACCTGGAAGAATGAAGACAGAGCTCTGCCGAATATTTGCCAAGTGACTGAATTGAAAGACGAAGAGCCTAAGTTGAACTGTTGAATTTCCGCCGGAGGTCATACCTCGGAGGAAAAGCCTATGGGAGATGGGTTATATGAAGGTGTAGCCCCAAGAGCTGATATGTGTAGACTCTTACGCCTCGTCTGCGTACCTGATTTTAGAGTGAAAGCTCCATATTCAAAGCGCTCGTCCCAAAACGGGATCTCAGCGCCACGAGCCCAATGGGGAACCGTCCCATCACTCCTCTTTGCCTTCCGCTCCTCCTCGTTTTCGTCGTTTCCTGTCTCGACCGTCGACCCGTTTTACTTGAAAATATTCCAGGTACTCAAGGGCAGTGGGGGGAAGACATGGAAGCAGAAAATAGATTCTCCCACGCCGATCGCGACGATAATCAATCGATGGTTGAAAATACTTGAAACACAGTACGGGAGTAAACACGATTCGACCGAGGTTTGAACTTGGGGCCGTCTGTGCTTTAGGTTACGCAAGGGGCTACGCATCAACGGATACGCAAAAATTGTCAAACGCAGCAACGAGGAGCAAAACATGATTCGACCCAGGTTCGAACTGAGGACCGCCTGTGCGACAAGTTACGGGAATAATCCCACAGTTGTTAGACAGAAGTGATAACCAACTACACCATCGAACCGCGAGATGCACTGGAATTAGAGGAATTTACTGCGAGAATCACTGGGAAGTCAATATTTGAACCCAGTTGAAAAAAACTCACCACTCACCAAACATCCCTCGGAATTGCAGAAATACGAGTCTAGGACAGGGTAAATGTCAACAGGACTTGCGCAGACTTCAAGCAAGTTACCAGGATTCAGTGAGGATTCCCCAAATATCCTTCGGAATCGAAGGAACTCGGGATCAGACATGAGCATACTTCCACCAGAGTTCACAGGAATATATAAGGTCGGAAGTGACCTAGAAGTCAACAGGACTTGCGTAAACTTCAACCGACGACCAGGGACCAGGGTATAGTCGCATCCTCGGTGGATGACCGGAACGATGTGGACCGCCTTCATTTTAATTTTATCTTCCTTCGAATGACTGGCCTTCACCGCAGATACAAGTCCTTCGACTGAGATCATGACGCATGAGCATGACTCTAGCCGTATATCACTCACTCACATACCCTCGGAACAACCCCCAGGTCACCTAGGTAAACACCGTGGAACAACCAACATTTTCCGTTGAACCCCAAACAAATTATTCCACTCTTACTACTATTCGTCTTCCGACAGTACCAGATCGACTTCGTTTCTGGAGCGGTTTGTCAAAATCCGGAACTGCAAGGATGCGGCAGGTGCCAGTATGTACAGCTCAGGAATCCGAGTTGAACCACTTCACAAGGGTTAAGGTGTATATCTGCGACGTCGTACCAGCAAAACACGTTGTGCCCTCTCGGCGTGCCTGCTCAGCTTTCCAGCTCTTATAGGTACCCCCAAGTCTCTCCAAGGCACTGGCAGGCGAGCCGAAGGCAGTATATGGCTCTTCGCGTTGCACTTGAACCGTGAGAAAATCAATGAAGCCGGATCGAACGCGAACATTCAACACCGCCCATGCTCCCTGGGGTGTTGGATGGCCTGAATGACATGGACTTCCTTCATTCCAATTTTTCCTTCTTCCATCGACATGTTCAAGTGCGTGGTGTTCATGGCTCGACTGGTTTTCGCCACCGCGACAAACAAGTGGGTTCATAATCAACAAATCAACGAAAGAGGATTTCTTCGGGGGCAGTGGGGCATGTGTTTAACAAGTCTACTCTCACTTTCAATGGACCCTTTCTTGCCACCCGAACTGGAGCACAGGATTTTCGAAATTGCTGCATCTGCGGGCAACAGATCAATTCCTTGCCTCCTTCGCGTTGCGCACCGCGTGAGGATCTAGTATGCGGTCCTTACTATTCTGTTTAACTTGCGGATTACAACTTCCCGGCAGGCTAGAACCTTTAATCTGCCGTCGGGTACTCGCAGTTGAGAGTCCAACCGGGCAATTTCAACCGAATGGAGACGCGATAATACCCCCGGACGCGCTGATCGCTGCTATCGAGAGACTGCCAGCAATCTTCCTCCGCACCCATGTCCGGCATCTTTGTAACGCCGGCGAGAGCCGCGAACATATCAATGCCTCGCTCCCGGACAGAATTGTATGCCCGGCAGTTGAGGAAAACTGCATGCTGTGGTCGACTTGACTGTCGAGTTCAGACGGTTCAGTTTCAAATCAATTTACGTAGACTGAAAGGATGAGAACTCAACTATGCTCGTGTATAAAATTAGGATGAGATGAATACCTTACCTGCCATTCATTAATTCCTTCGGAATGCTCATTCCAATCACTATGTTTGGCACCGAGCTATTATGCCGGATGATAAAATCTCTTGCGTATAGTTCGCTTGACAGCCTGGCAAGTCGTCAGATTTTAGTTGCCCTTTGTGATAAGTACTCGACAGACGGGACATTGATCGCCTACCTGGCCTCGTAATAACGTCCTTTGAACTTGATCCCCATGCAGTGTATTGAGCTGAGTAAGTTACTTGGCTGGAGAAAATGGGAATCTTGAGCCTACTTCATCACCAGCCAGAAAAGACTTCTGTTCAGATGCACTTTCTGCAATCGAGTCTTCGGTCATCAACTTGGACGGAATTCATCTGCTTCCGAGGCCATTTGTTTTTCTCGTCTACCAGAGGTTCAGCGCTCATGATTTCCTCTGAATAGAAAAAAACATGGTCCGGAAAGACACTTACCAGACGGACATCCATCGTTCATGTTCGCCGAAGTTGAGAAGGACTTGGAATTGCATCAAAAACTGCAACGGCGCTCACCTGAGACTAACGGCGGATCACGACTGAACGGTCGCCACACATGCCTTTACATCCCTGAGGGAGATCATTTTAAAGGCAGTCGCAACAGCCCAGACCATAGCTATCTAGATTATTCCTCCTGCAACACAAAGGTTTCCCCTGCGAGATCGATCAACAAGTGAACCACAGAGAAGCCGAAGCTGAACGTACGATGGATCTCTCCAGAGAGACGTCGGGCTATGAAATTTTCAGCCCGTACCCAAAAATCCTCGCCACCACGAGCGCCGATCTGCCAGTCTCGTACAGTCGGCGGCGCTTGCATGCACACAAATCGCGTGTCCTGCGCAAGGGTCTCTAGCCCGATCCCAGTATCCATGAGCATCTGGTACGACGTGTTCAGGAGAACAAGGACTCGCAACACAGGGCATGTTTTGAGCGCGTGTGTGAGGATTTGGAGGGATCGCTCGACCAGAAAGGCCAGATGCGTGAGGTGGGGAATACGTGCGAGTCTCTCCCACTGAGCGGTATCGGGCTCGAGATCGTCCATTACTTCCAGATGCGTGATGTGTGCGAATAGTGAATGCGAGAAGTTGATGCTGGTTCCGAAGAATAGATCGGCCAATGTGGTACCCAAACGCCGGAGAGGCATGCCCGATACGAAGGGTAGGAAATCTGAGTCCGGTCCAAAATGAAGGATAAGGAGGTTCTCGACGGAAGAGCAAGTTGCGAGAACGAGTTCGAGGTTGAGTCGAGGGATTCCTTCGTAAACCAGCAAGTGCAGGACATTTTCTGCAACGATTTGGGACTCGATTGCAGAGGTGAAGCGGACGGGGTCGAAGCATATATGACCGGGCAGTGGATTCGAAAAAACGACAACACGGTATAGCAGTGGTTCGATCCTGTCGTGCGCTATCAGTTACATCGCATTGCCATAACGGAGATGAAACTTGCCAGACTTTGACCCGGTGGGCAACCAAGAGAAGGGCCGGAATAGATTTGGAGTGGGACTGGGCGGCCAATTCGAAGACCTTGCGCTCCAGTTCAGCGGGAAGTCGGGGTTCGGACATGAGCGGGTGAGGCAAACCAGCTACGGCACATGATTGCCGAGAACCGAAACAGTGGCAAGCATTGGTCCGCGCCGGGACTTCAGCTCAGAGATGCCATCTCCGCGATTGCAAATCGGAGTTTTTGTGGGATTCGTCCATGAGTAACACAGTAAAAGATTTGGAGTGAAACAAAAACATCGTAGCGGTAGTAAAACAGTGAATTTTGATGTAACCGCACAGCAGCTAGATAATTCAGCAATGAAGAGCACAATAGCTTTGCGAGTGAAGAAGCTAGCGCCGCGAACAAAACTCGCCCGTAACCCCACCGACAGTATGCGTCTCGTCGACACTGAGTTGAACAGGTGCTGGACTAGAAAAATGAGAGTGAGAATTCTGTATTCCTGATCCAGGGAAAACAGGACACAGTAAATTTCACTACCACAACCTAACCGCACGTCCAGGAAACACGATTTATCAATATTCGAACTGCCTTTCCAAAAATGGAACTCACCCCCGCTGACATAAGATATTGACCCAATCAGGAATTATCCGATCACTTCTCCGTTCTTCGCTGCTCTCTGCCTTCAATGTCATCTCGGCGGCCTAGAGCTGCGATGGGAGGTTCGTACTGAGAGGGGCCGACTTGGGCGTAAAAAAAACTGGGCTCTCACACCGATTGCAACGCGATAATCAAAAGTGATGAGAATTGAAGATGGGGCAACGGCGAGCAAAACGCGCTCCGACCTGGATACTGCGTCAGCCTGAGGGCCGCCTATGTACATGGAAATTGTGAGACGAGAGTAGTAGCGGACTACAGCCATCTGGAACCGCCAAAATCTCGAACGAGAGTCTTTTGTAGACTCGTTACCAGTCTGCGCTACGGCAAAAGAAAGTCTCTTTATCCGACGATATTTACGTTTGTGAGTAAACTGATGGTCACATCACCGTAAATCGCCGGACGGCCATCACTTTAATCACTGCTATCAGATTTATGCTTGATTGACGTGCGGCACAACATTTTGTGTTGAACTCGACGCTTGCGCGCACGCTGATCCACAAACCCAGAGGATGACTTACCACAGTTATATGCAGTGTCAGTACACGGGTTTCTCCGCCATCTTTCGCTCCAGACTACTGTTAATCTACCGAGGTCCAAGGTTAACGACGGATTATGGCTTACATTCATCCCTTTTCGAAGTGCTACAAATGCATGTGACAGTGCTATTTATCCCAACAAATTTCCAACCTGCAAGGAAGCACTCTCAGTCTTTCTCCCTGACCCAGAAGGCTCAGAGGAGATTTTATGGAACCCAGCTTAGTTGAACGACCCGCGCGCCGGGGATTTGATGTGAGTCTTGATGTGCAAGTTGAAGCTCGTGTAAGGTTCAATCACAGTCAGAATGAGGAATGTGATGCATTCCGCGTGAACCTCCCTCGGCATACCATGAACTCTTTGAGCAGAACAGGCAGGCTAAGGAGTCAAACCCTGTGAAGCATTACTTTACCAAGAGCAAGACTTTTACAATTCCTCCAACACTATGTCTGGCTCTGTATCATGTTGAAGACATGTAAAATGACGTGGTATTAGACCTACCAACATCGCAGTTTAACCCTGTTGATGTGTTGCACCACCTGCGCGCCCGGGGACTTGATGTGAGTGTTGATGTGAAACTTGAAGCTCGTGCAAGGTTCAATCGCGGTTAGAATGACGGATGTGATGCGTTAAGTGTTAACTAAGTGAAGCGAAAATTCGCCTGAGCATCCAAAGAGGCTCCTTCCACGGCCACAAGGTGAAAGGCCAAGGTGTCATAACCCTGTGAAGTAGTTGGTATACTGAGGGCAAAACTCCCGCAATTCCTCCAATCACATGTCGTCCTCTCTACCACATAACCATGTTGACCACATCTGAAATAATGTGGTAAGAAGACGAGCTTAAAATGAAATAGAGTAGTAATATCTCAGCGCCTTACATCCAAGGAAAACCTCATTGAACATGATCTGGTCTAAGAAAGCCGCCGAGACGCGGAAATGACATGGTCTCGACGCGTTATTTTGGGCGCGCGTCGACGTTTGACATCCTCCGTGCCCCAGGAGCTTTGAAAACGCGTCGATTCATCAACAGACGCGTGATAACTGCGGTAAGCGGTGGAAAGTCAGGCGAATACGGCAGGTAAATCACGATCAGCCGCGTAGCGCTTGCCGACGGATTTACCGCGTAAGGGAGGCCTTAGGCCCTTGCACGTGGGGCCGATTTACGATCTTTACTGTAAATATCGTAAATTTCCTGGACGTAAGTACTTACGCGACTTTCCACCTGCCAAATCACTTTCTCGTTGAAATATATTTATTCCATTCTCCCCTTGGCTCCTTACATCCCAAGAAAATTTTGGAGGTAGGTTATAGTTACATTGAATAGACTGGCAGCCGCTGATTGCCTTTCAAGGACCACAGTACCTTGGGAATGGCAAAAACACCGGCCAGGACATGGGATCACTCCGCCAATCACAGTCAAAATGATCGTCCTCCGTATCTGGCCAAGTTGAATCAAACGAGATCCCAAGACCCGCGGGAATGGCCGAAAATGAGAAAGGTGGGTGTACCCCTCACCCATCGAATTCTCGGAAGCCGGCCTACACCCAGCTGAAGAAGAATAGGACACACTCAAGTCATACTTAGTGTTACATTGTGGTAAGATCAGTTGTCTTTCTGCCAGTTTCCCACCACAGGCCTTTGTCCAAATAAATCACCTATCCCTTCGAATATCCTACCAAATGCCTCGCATATGCTCAAGGTAATTCCACCCGAAATGTGCCCCCGCCGTCACCCGCATTGCGGTGAGTGTGTATGTTTTTCGAAGACTGATTATATTTACCTGAGTTTTGTGCCATGGACCTCCATCTAGCCAATGCACCGCACCCTTGGAGCCTTCTACAGACACTTGGCGCACATCGGGAATGAACGTGGGCGCAACGCGTCAACACCGATGCCCGTGCTCTGGTAAGTGTGGGAATATATCAATTTCTTGAAGACAAATTGTATGCCCATTTCTCGCCTCAAGCCTTACATCAAGTGACCTACCACACATCCCAAAAGGCCTTCAGATGGTTTGGGAACAGGCACAGCCAAAATTCGTCTGAAAGTTGCAGTGAGTTTAAATGTGTTGAACCATCATTGTGTTCAATCGGACATTCCGACTTGTCCAACTGAGCATTTCAAGTATTTCACCAGTCTGTACGATTGTACATTCTCAGTTTGTCCGATCGGAGGTTTTCATTTTGTCCAGTCGGACATCGTCGTTTTGTCCGATTGAAGACATCCATTTTGTCTGATTGCACATTTCCAACATTTTCTCTGGATGTTAATGCCTTGGCTTCTGCAACACAGAAATATAACACAGTGAGGTTAATCACCCTTGATCAATGCAATGAGGAAGAAGTAACTTGCATGTCCCTCACCTCACATCCTCAGATAAATCTCATTGAGGTTGAGCGAGTACATAATATAAGTGGGCTATTGACAGAGCGGAGGTTACCTAGAAGTCCCTGATTCCTAATTTAGATTGTTGCATCCATCCTTGCTGCAGGAAGGAGAATATGGGAGGGGACAAGGGAGAACCGACGCGTGCCGCGACGCGTTTGATGGCCGGCCGAGCCTACCCGATATGGACCGATCAACGATCGACGGCATCTCGGCCCAGGCGATGATCGTGACGATCAGCGTAAATTTTTTGGAATAAGTGATGAGGTTATTTGCCGTAGGCAGACTGGTACAACTCGGGCCACGCCAAAGGGCTGCGCCCGGAGTTTGAATTTTTGGCGGGAGCCGAGGCTGCCGATCGGGTGGCTGTGTTCAGCCATCAATTCCCCGCCAAAATCAACTTTTTTACAGCTCAGCCTCTGGGCGATAAAATATTATTGTGAAGAGACAGAACTTAAGTTCAAAGGTTCTAAATTACCGATTTTCAAAAAAAATCTGATGGACCCCCAGATTTGAGCAAAATCCAGCTTCGGGGAAATCTTTTCAAACTCCGGGCACAGCTCTTTGATCCAGTCCGAGTTGTACCAGTCTGCCTACGGCAAACAACCTCACCCCTTCTTTTGCCGTAGTGCAGACTGGTTACGAGTCTAAGTCTTTTGAAAGGAAAAAGATGGGGAGAAAGAACACCAAAATGGTTCAACCCGGGCTCGAACCGGGGACCTCCCGTGTCCGCCAAATTGTGAGACGGACGTGATGACCAACTACACTTATTAGAAGCCTGGCGTTGTGCGGTCGCGGTGAGTTGTTCGCGAAGTCTTTTGGGGCAAAAACACTGGCTCAACCCGGTCTCGAACCGGGGACCTCCTCTGTCCACCAAATTTGTGAGAGAGACGTGATAACCACTACACTATTAAGCCTTAGTAGAGAAGGAGGATGAGTAAGGAGAGGAGGAGGAGGAGGATGAGGAGAAGGAGTCTGATTCCACACTTTTACTCAATAGGGGTGTTCGTTTGCCTTTGCCAGATCCTTCATGTTGATAGAGTTATAGGTCCTGCCCTTCGCGCCTATAGAAGGGGTACGAGGTATACCTCGATCTGTGTGTTCTCGCCTTCGCTATACCACCTGACTAACAACCGTAGATATCATTGTCGTGAGAGTTGTCGTGCACAGAAGAACATAAACATGGGGCGGGACAACTTAGCTTGGTCACCGTGGGTCGAATACTTGGTCAAAAATCGGAGTTTGTGTCGTCGAAAAGCGGACAAGTCTGTTAAGATTGGCCGGCAAGTGATGGAATCAAATTCATCAAACAAACTCAAGCGGCGCAGAATCGAGGTTGTTAACGGGAATCTGAAGTTTAAAACTCTCAAGAACATTCAGAGAGCTTTATGAGGATAGTATGCAGGCAGATTGAATCCCTTGAGCGGAATGTGGATGCCAAGTGATGCCTCGGAGATCATTGAACTTGGAAAAGTCCCCACTCGTTTTATTCATCACTTATGCTCACCGTGGTTTTGCTGGGGAGTGCCAGGTCCCTTACATTCAGCAGACTCACAACAACAACACAGAACGCAAGGAAGTGCTGTCTAATAATGACCATCAAGAATTTCCCTCCTCACCAACCATCAGCGGGTAGCCAAGAACCCAGTCTTGAGCACAGACATCGGAGGAACGTGGATGGGAGTTCATAATAGGCGGGAAAAGGAGGCCACAATCCTGTATCTATCCGTTGCAGTTCACTGTAAATAGAAGTCAACGAGTTGGCCCTGCATTATATATATAACTCTTGTAACAAACTGAAAATTAAATTCTCAGTATTTAGATCCACAAAGAATCAGTTCGCTTCCAGATTTCGGAAATGGCCTGTAAGCTGCTGGTCGGCCACGTTACAACTACTAAAACTTAGAATGCGATGCATAGACCAATTGTAGGAAATACACATGGTCAGACTCAGGCTTATCCTGCAGCGCAGGACATATTTTTGTGTGCATATATCCCTATATCATAGGCTTATTGGATGGGCAGGCTCGATGAAATATCGGTGACAGTTCGAAGTTCAACCTCAATCGAACATTTTCAACCGTGGGAATTTGACCGGTGCAGGGCGAATTTTTTATCTCTGGACGATATTACATTCGAGTGAACTCCCTTCGCATTACCAAGGAGAATATTTGGGGCTGGCATGAAAGCGGAAAGGTTTCCCGCCTTTCAGCCAACATTCAACTGAATATCCAGAATTGAGGGTGTCTGCGGAGAACAACAGACCGGCCTAGGCGCCTGAGCGACGGAGCCCATCGCTCAAACTTGTGAGTTTCACCGATGGATCCATCGGTGAAAATTCAAACTCAACTCGCCCTTTCCGAGTCATTTCGCCCTGGCATTTGATTGATGTTACTGGGGCCAAATGCTTCTCGGCGATTCTGTCTCTTTTGAGATCACATCACAGTCGTTTTCACCCGTGCTTTGCCAGGGTTAAATGACTAGACAGCTGTGTAGGCGCATCGGTAAATTACCTTGAGCTTTTGGAACAGGGAGTGGAGAGGTTGCGGAGTGAACAGCAGTTGAACGACGGGAGTGAATCCAGGCATGGAAAGCTGCTCTCCCACCATCCATTTTCTAGGCAGCATTGGTAAACAGTCCGCGAACCGAGATTCCTACTGAAGAGGTATATAGTTCCAGAGAAAGCAGTGAGTCAAGCTCAGCAGATGGAATAAGTATAAAACTTTGCAAGGACACAAGGGAATCCGAGGCTTCCCGCCATCGAGATTGATCGATGAGTGATGGGATCAAATTCACACAAATGTAAAGTCCAGGTTATTAACGGGAGGTTTGAAGCCCAAAACTCTTGAGAATATTTGAACACACGTAAAAAATGTGATATGTGTGTAATTTAAATATCCCAAGCCCAATTTCCAAATACTTGAATGGTCAAGAAGGGGCTGAGATATAACTCCCCGACCTGTTTTCCTTCCCGGGATGCAGTCTACACGTTGTTGACAGGATGAAATTTGCCTGGACTTGGACACATGACTACGAACCACGGCGTTGCAGCGAGAAGGCGATCAAAAGGCAATCTGATGCTCGTATAAAAAAGAGTTACAGCGGTTGTACAGCGAGCGAGCATTTGGATAAGTATGACAAAGAAAGAACAGTACTACTCCGCCTCCTCCTCCTCCTCCTCCACCTCCGCCTCAGCCTTGGCCTTTTTCTTCTTTGACTTCTTCTCGAGCGCCGGCTGGTACTTTGCGACGAACTTGTTGTAGATCAAGCGCCGGATGTGGTCGGGCGGCAGGTCGTAAATGGAAAGGATAGGGTGCGATTGCTGAGTCCCATAATCAGCGTCTCCGCCCTTCTTCTTGCAAGACCCGTCCACGCGTCGGTTTGTTTGCGGGTCGATCGGCCGTTTCGCCTTTGAGCCGAGACAGAAGTGAGCGAAGAAGGCGTTTTCACGAACGTTCGTTTGGTGAAGGATCTCGAAGTGCCCCCAGTCGCAGATGACGACGTGGTCTACAAGGACGTTAGTGAGGAATTAAAGCACGCGCGCGAAAGAACACACTTGATTGGTCGAGCCAGTCCTCGGTCTTTCCCGCCCAGGCCTTGGACTTGTTGGTGCTCGTCGTCGGCCAAAGGAACTGGGGGCATTCGGAGAGAGACAGCGCGCCGACGGCGACATCCAGCGCCATCGCGAGGTGGAATGTGTTGTCGTAGACGGGATCTGTAGAATCTGGGGAAGCGTAGACATGACCACGTAGGCCCGTAAAATTCGTCTTGGGGAACAGCGCGCGTGCCTTGGCCGAATTACCCGGCCGTTTTAGGATTTCTTCCATCTCGAGGGGGACGACGACCTCTTCGTAATTTTCGGGTTGAAGGGTGACGAGTTCGGCCTCGTGGATAATGTTGTGAGGGTAGATAATGCGAATGAGGTTGTCGACGTGAGAGTTGCGGATCGGGATCTTGGTGCCATCGGGACAAGTATGCTTTGCGTTATTATCTTTGGCGAGCAAGAAATCAGTACATGCAGCGCAGAACCCGAGGCGGAGATTCGCGTGCCCGGGCAAAGACCCCAGCGGCCAGGATCTGCGTCCCGGAGGTGGCTTCTTGACGAGATCGGAAACGCCGCCGACAGACTCTAGTAGCCTTTTACTCGGGGTGCCCAGCGCAGCCTCCCTCTTCGCCTTCGTCGCCTTTCCTCCGGCCGAATGAGCGGCGGTATCGTGCGCGAATCGCTCATGATTGCGTACGGTATTCAAGAACGCCTCTTCCGTGCCTCCCCATATGCCCGCCGAGCGGGAGATGCGGATGCCGGGACGAAGCGCAAGGAACCATTTACTAAACTCGGGCGTGCCCACAGCGTCGCGTAGATGAAAGGGGATGATGTGGTCGGCGGCGCCCGGAAATCCAGAGGACTTCAAGGTCTCGATGTAGTTGACAATAGTTGCCAATTGGGCAACGCGGGCGGGACCGCGCGCGCTGGTGTGAGTGATCCCCGGAATCTCGTAGGGCTCCGACCTAGAGACAATCGTCGGGGAAGCGCGAGGGGGGTGGCTGAGCTTCTGCAGGTGACGAGATATCTGCGCCTGAACCCGAAAACCGGCTTTCGTCTCGTCGAGGTATTGATGGAGACCTCTTGCGACGATATCCTTCTCCACATCCTCCTTTAACTTTTCAAAGTACGTGCGGAGGTTGGTGGCATCGTCCCAGTCTGGATCAACACCCGCGTCGTGCAGCGCTTGGATGTGTCCGAGACTGACTTGTTCGATGGCAGACACGCACATAACAATGGTCTCGACGCAATAGGACTCGTCAGGGCGGTACTTGGCGGCGCCAATGTCCATATTCGGGATGAAGAGGACGATACTGGTGGCCTCCGGACCATATTGCGCCACGAATAGCTGACCGACGGAAGGCAGGTAGTTGTCGTGGTCGAGCTGGGGGTACCAGTAATCGTTGCCGTGTTTCGGAGGAAGGTAATCATGAACGTTGGCGGGGATCTTCCCGGCGTCGATCGCACCACGAACGGAGTCCGGCATTCCATGAGAAGCAAGAAGGGTCGACCCTAGGATGATCGAAGAGGCGACGCCGTTGGACCAAGTGGACAACAGTATCGGTCTGATGCAGCGGATGAGCCGCTCCAACAGCTTGCATGCAAGCCAGTAATCTGGAGTGCCGGGGACGACGCGCCAGAGGTTGGTGATCGCACCCAGGTGAAGCGTGATTTCATTACTGGTAAGATCACCTTCATGCCGCAGCTCGGGTGCAAGGAAGGAATAAAGATGACGGAAGAGCTGCAGCGCCTGTCCAGTATTTGCCTGCCACGGAGCTTTATCGTCGCTCTTGAAGTCTTCTTGACTTATATCTTTCGCAACGCGAAGGAAAGGGATGCTGTGCCCGTTGGACCGCAGAGCCGAAGCCGCATTCCGGCACGCGCTGTCGAATGCAGCTGGATTCATCTCCGGGCCGCCAGACTTCTTGAAAAAATCGAGTTCGTCGTCGTACAGCTGTTTGACGGCTTCGGACACAATGGTGTGCTCAGTTCCGAAGACGGGGGAGGGGAATGAAGTGACTATGCTGGATAAGATCTCGGACAAGATGGTGTCGGGAGTAGATGGACGGTAGAAACCGCCAACGGCGGAATTCGTGCCTCTGCCCGCCTGCAGGGCGATGAGGAACCGCTCGATGGCGCCAGCGACGGGGTCCTTCCGCACGCCGGGTGAACCGGGCAGGTAGAAGGGTACCAACTCGAAGCACGTTCACGTCAAGTCCGTGGCCTGAAGGAAGCGTCCAAGCCTTGAAGAAAGTTGATTCACGAGCACGGACGCGAGGTCGTCAGCATGGCGCTTCGAGGGCTGCGCGTCGTGTGAAGTGCCGACATAGGTCCAGAAACCATCACCCACAGCCGTGATCGAGTCTGCGAGGC